GTTAGCTAAAACAACTCGCCTTAATTTATAGCTGCATGCTAAAGTTAGCTTAAACAACTCGCCTTATTTAATAGCTGCATGCTAACATTAGCTTAAACTACATGTCTTATTTTATAGCTGCATGCTAAAGTTATCTTAAACAACTCACCTTATTTTATAGCTGCATGCTAAAGTTAGCTTAAACTACATGCCTTATTTTATAACGGCATGCTAATGTTAGCTTAAACAACTCACCTTATTTCATAGCTGCATGCTAAAGTTAGCTTAAAAAACTCACCTTATTTCATAGCTGCATGCTAACGTTAGCTTAAACGACATGCCTTATTTCATAGCTGCATGCTAAAGTTAGCTTAAACGACATGCCTTATTTTATAGCTGCATGCTAAAGTTAGCTTAAACGACATGTCTTATTTTATAGCTGCATGCTAAAGTTAGCTTAAACGACATGCCTTATTTCATAGCTGCATGCTAAAGTTAGCTTAAACGACATGTCTTATTTTATAGCTGCATGCTAACGTTAAGTGTCAATATTAATGAAAATGTATCTTATAAGCTGCCTATAAATATTAAGATTTTTTAACCCTAACCCTCTACAAGTGTCTTACAAGGAAATAAGAATTCTGTTAATTTATCAATAACCAGCCCTTATAAAATGTTAATAAACAGCTTAATAATGTTTATGACAGTTCCTAATAAGGGCCTATAAGTGTCTTATCAATAATAAATGAGTTAATTGTGCTTTAGTTAACACTTATTTGTGTTATAAACATCTTTATAAAGTGTTTGATTATTTTTTAATTGCTGCTTATTAACTGTTAATTACTGCTTATTACAAGCACCTTCAAATAAAGTGTTACCGAGACAAGCACTTGTGATTAACTTAAAGAAAATAGAGCTCACAGCCAGATGCTGAGTTCATCAGTCAGTTATCGTCTATTCCATAAACCAATCACAATGTGTTTTAAGACTCCATATTATTGACATGGTGTCATGGTTTTGGGTTTTGATGTTGTTATTTTCTATTTATGTTGTATCTCCTGTGTCTTGTCTTACTTTATTTCCTGCCCTCGTGTTTTCCCGCCCGTTTGATTGGCTGCCCTGTCCTAATTACTTTCACCTGTGTCTCCTTAATCTCCCCTCACTTGTGTGTTTAGTCTGTGCGCCTGCCTTGTCTTTGTCTATATGTCAAGCTTTCTAGCCATTTCCCAGTGTTTTCCTGTGTTTTGGATTTTTGGCCTGATGTATTAGACTGTTTAGATTTGGTTTATTGCTGCTTCCTTTGGATGTGTTTTCTATGTGTCTGCCTGTGTGGACCTTGGCCTGCCTCAGCTTGCTGTAAGTCAGTGTACTCTTTTATTTTGAAAACCATAAAACTGAACCTGCCTCTGGTTCTGGGTCTGGTCCACTCCCCCGTGTTCCTCTTTGCCCACTTGAACTTACTGTGACACAAAGATATTATCTCTGTATGTTCCCTTTGCCTATAGGTTTAAAAATCATGATTGAAAAACCCTCGAGGAAGATCATTCAGTTACATCCCCTCCTAATGAAAAGCTTCCTGCTAAGTGTTGTTAAAATGTTTTATACCTATAAGATATTACAAATATTTCATTGATTCATGTAGAATATAAGTAATTTAAGACTTCATCATCACACTGCAGTTTAACAGTGTGTGACTCCCTCTAGTGGACGTTGTGGAGTATTCTGTTGTCTTTGCTCCAAAGGTTTTTGTACAGAGTTTTGGTGTTTCCTGTCACTGTGGGCTGCAGAGCACAGTAGTACACAGCAGAGTCTGTCACTGTAGCAGAGGAGATCTGCAGATCCATTTGGGTTTTATCATCACTCACTTTAGCAGACCATCTAGAGTTTGTTGCATTTTGTGTTCCCAAGTGAAAGATGAGGAACTCTGGTGGTTTTCCTGGATGTTGTCGATACCAATAAAACTCATCACTACCAGTTGCTTGTTTGGAGTATTTGTAGGACAGAGTAACAGAGCTGCCTTCTAAAGTGAACTCTTCATTCCTGACTGCAGTGAGTTCTTCACAGCTGACACCTGAAGAAAAAAATAACTCTGTAACTTTACAATCTAAAGGTTTCTATCAGTGAAGCTCTCTTAATATTGACGATCTCACCTACCTCTTATTGTGAGCAGAAACAAAGTCACAAACAGACTGAAGTTCACTGACAGCATCTTAAAGAGAAAGAGAATCTGTCTGCTTTTGGATCAAACACCACTGTGAAAGTTTGTGTCTTTTCTGTCCTTGAGTCCCAGTTTTGCTCCTCCCTTAATCCCTCCCTCCTTCCTCTCACAACTCTGACAAATAGTGAGTTTGTCTCTGCTGTGGTGCTGTTATTCACTAAATGACATCATTTCCATCAGGTAACAAGTAGCTGATAAGGTAACACTGATTGACTCTTTGCAGAACATGTGAAGGTCCTGACTGAGGTCAATCTTTACGCAGATGATATGCTACTATTACTAGAATCTACTTCTGATTCTGTACCTGTCTGTTGCCTTCTGTATCTGAAATAGATGCCAGATTTGCACATTACTTTTCTGACCTTTCATCTTTTGCTGTTTAAGTTATAATCCTGGCAGTTTTAATATTCACACTGATGATTCAACAAACTCATTTAGGAAACACATTAGAGTCTTTCCCTTGGTCTGAGTATCAATTCTGTGGTTCTCTGATCACGTTTTACACTGTTACATGCTGCCCGAAAACATCATAGCAGAATTATTAGCGCCTGTATCCTCAGTTAACATAGTGCCTTAACAATCTAAGTCAAACTACTTTAGACTCCACGGCTCCCATTAATCTCAGATCAAAGTTTCCTCTTAAACCATTTCTTGGATTGACGATAGTTTAAGGAGTCTTAAAAGATTGAACAGAAGAGCAGAATGGAGTTGGAGAAAGACTAAATTGCATGTCTGCTATTTGTGAATGAAAGACGTTCTGACTTCTTACAACAAATGACAGACACCAGAGCCAACTGCTTCTCTAACCTAGTCACCAGGAACAAGCATGATCCTAGATTCCTGTTTAAAACCATTAGACAGACTTATCAACCCTGCTCCCCCTGCCTTACCAGCCTCTTCAAATGCTGACTGTGAGTTGTTTTTATGATCTTTTTCTAAGCAAAAAGTCACTAACATTAGGTCTAACACCTACTACCACTGTTGTTGCTGATATTTCTGATAACCCTGGCTGTCCTGAACTACTCAGCCATTTTCAGCTAATTTCTCTTCCTGAGCTCATCGATACTGTCTCTCACACACTTTCCTCTTCAAGCCCTCTTGACATCTTAACCACCTCACTCCCCTTAAAACGTTATTTTACATTTATTTGACGTTTTTATCCAAAGCGACTTACAATTGCTATGTATGTCAGAGGTCGCACACCTCTGGAGCATCTAGGGGTTAAGTGTCTTGCTCAGGGATTCATAGGTGTTTCACAGTAGATTCTCTCACACTGAAGGCATGTGTCTTATCCACTGCACCATCACCACCCGCCATATGCGTGACATATGGTTTATGGGTGACATTGGCCCTAGCTTACTTCACATTATTAATTGTTCCATTACTTCCTGCCACATCCGCAATTATTTTAAGCAAGCCAGCATTCAGCCTCTAATAAAAAAAATATGCTTTCATATACAAAGTTATTGAAAAGGTGGTGCTAACTCAATTCTTAGCTGTATTAGATGATAAGAGCATTTTTGATGGGTTTCACAAACAACACTCATTATGGTTAAATACGAAAGACTGATGTGTGCTCATGCTGGGAACATTCTGTTTTATTGCTCCTGCTTCAGCGCTGAGTTTGACACTGTCAGTCAAATAGAGAATTTTCTGTCTTCATCGTTAATTATGTTTCATCTTCCCCTCTGCTGATGTGCAGGGCGCCACAAGGATCTAGTCATTGTCCAGTGTTGTTTTCCCTTTGGATGCATCCATTAGGAAACATTATCATTATCGTGTTTAAAGGTGAAGTGCGTAAGATTTAGTAGCATCTAGCAGTAAGGTTTCCAGATGTCTAGTCTACTATAGAAATAGCTCATTCTAAAAAAAACAGAACCGTTCATTAGGTCTTTATACACCACTGAGAACATAGTTAAGAAATCTTTTATTGCATTTCTGTCAATAGATCCTTAGAAATATCACACACTGGACCTTCAATCTTCTATCACTGCTATTCTGATAATACAGGGATCTACTTTTCTCTTTAGCTAACGTTGGCTGTCTGGGCAGTTTAATAAAGTGCTTGACTGCTGTTGTGGATGATTTATTACTTTCTGTACCTAAACTCAGACAAGACAGAAGTAATAATCGTTGGCCCTGATCACCTTACAACCATATTGGTCCACTGACAACCAATTTAAAATCTCCATCCAGAAATGTAGGTGTCACATTTGACCTTCAAACCACATGTCAATAATCTCAATAAATCCTGCTTCGTCCACCTAAGCAATCAAACCATTATTCGGTGTGACCACCCTTAGCCTTCAATACAGCTTCAACTCTTCTAGGTGCATCTCATTCTTGTACCACTCTCCAGCCCTTCGGTGCACAAACTGCGTTCTGCTGCAGCCAAATATTTCACATGTTGACATGTTTCTGCGTCTGTGGTCCTCAGTGCTGCCTGTTTCTTTGTGCTTCTTCAGAAGACCTTGGACAGCACATCTGGAAACTCCTGTCTGCCATGAAACATCTGCCTGGTAGAGACCTTTCTGATGCAGTATAACTACCTTGTGTCTTGTTGCTGTGCTCAGTCTTGCCATGATGTCTGACTCTTCAAACTGTCTTCAGCAGCCTCACCTTGTTAGCTGAGTTAGGCTGTTCCTCACTCAGCTGGATTCCTCCTACACAGCTGTTTCGGTTTCACTTAATGATTGTGTTTCAAACTACATATTGAATTGCTGATCATTGGCACCTGTCTGGAATAATGATTTAATACACCTGATGACATGCTTACAAAATCCCTGACTTTGTGCAAGTGTACTTAGGAGAACTGCTGTTTGAAGGCAAAGGCTGGTCACACCACAACGAATCCAGACTGGATCATAAACCACTGAAGTTTAACAGTGTGTGACTCCCTCTAGTGGACGTTGTGGAGTATTCTGTTGTCTTTGCTCCAAAGGTTTTTGTACAGAGTTTTGGTGTTTCCTGTCACTGTGGGCCTCACGGCACAGTAGTACACAGCAGAGTCTGTCACTGCAGCAGAGGAGATCTGCAGATCCAGATGGGTTTTATCATCACTCACTTTAGCAGACCGTCTAGTTTGTTGCATTTTCTGTTCCCAAGTGAAAGATGAGGAACTCTGGTGGTTTTCCTTGATATTGTCGATACCAGAAGAATCGATCACTACCAGTTGCTTTTTTAGAGTATGTGTAGGACAGAGTGACAGAGCTGCCTTCTAAAGTGAACTCTTCATTCCTGACTGCAGTGAGTTCTTCACAGCTGACACCTGAAGGAAGAGATAACTCTGTTATTTCATGTTGTAAAAGACTCAACAAATGAATCCCATCCAGAAAAGTTAGTAATGAAACTTTCTCAGCAGGATCTCACATACCTGTTAGAATGGATAGTAACAGTAGAGAAAGTACATAACAGTCAATGACAGCATGTTGAATAAAGGGAATGTTTCTGCTTTGTGTATTGAACTCTGCTGAATATGGAAGTTCCTCTCTCTTCTATAGTTCACTAACAGCTTAGCTCCTCCCTCAATCTCTCCGTCTCCTCGCAGCTCTGGATTTTCACTTCTCTCTGTTCCACTTCCTACCTTACCAGTAAATTCTACAGGATGTGAAAGTTTTTGCTTTATTTTCTGTAAATGAGACGTAGGTAACACTTTATTTTAAGGTGCTTGTAATAGGCAGTAATAAACAGTTAATAAGACACTTATAAGACCTTATAGGATGCTTATAGACAACAATAGAAGTGTTAATTAAAGCCTAATAAACTATTAATTGATTAATTATTGCTTATAAGACAATTATAGGCCTTTATTAGAGCTATAAGTTATATATACCTCATGAATGCGAGATTGGACATCACATTGTAATTTGCACTCCTAATACAGCTACCCTTTATACTTCAGTACATTTCTTATTTTCTTAGACAACTAAGATGGTTTGTGAAGGTTTTATCTTGTTCCTGTCGACTTTAAATGTGTATTTTATGACGATAAAATGACAGTTAATTTGAATAGAGCCTGGTGGGTTTGGCGATTTCAGGGATGTTTCATGTTAAAACAAAACAGATCTTACTCTTTAACAAAAGCTTGACCTCAGCTGGGATCCTTTCCATAATGTTGTCAGACACTAAGAATAATTATCTGAGCGTGTCAGTGGCAAAACAAGCACGTTATGGATGGAAACTGAAGGTGTGCAGCGGCATATTAATGTTACATTGTAGCTTGTTTCACGCTGCCACTGCAGCCATCTCTTGGACCAATTTCTAATGTCCAGGTTGAGAGAAAACACCCTAAGACATTATTCAAGCTGCTCTGAAAATCCAAGTGCTAATGTTAGCTTACACGACATGCCTTATTTTATATCTGCATGCTAAAGTTAGCTTAATCTACATGCCTTATTTTATAGCTGCATGCTAAAGTTAGCTTAAACTACATGCCTTATTTTATAGCTGCATGCTAACATTAGCTTAAACTACATGCCTTATTTTATAGCTGCATGCTAATGTTAGCTTAAACGACATGCCTTATTTTATAGCTGCATGCTAAAGTTAGCTTAAACTACATGCCTTATTTTATATCTGCATGCTAATGTTAGCTTAAACGACATGCCTTATTTTATAGCTGCATGCTAAAGTTAGCTTAAACTACACGCCTTATTTTAGAGCTGCATGCTAATGTTAGCTTAAACTACATGCCTTATTTTAAACTACATGCCTTATCTTATATCTGCATGCTAAAGTTAGCTTAAACTACATGCCTTATTTTATAGCTGCATGCTAAAGTTAGCTTAAACTACATGCCTTATTTTAGAGCTGCATGCTAAAGTTAGCTTAAACTACATGCCTTATTTTATAGCTGCAAGCTAATGTTAGCTTAAAATACACGCCTTATTTTATATCTGCATGCCTATGTTAGCTTAAACTACATGCCTTATTTTAAACTACATGCCTTATTTTAAACTACATGCCTTATTTTATATATCTGCATGCTAACAGTAGCTTAAACTACATGCCTTATTTTATAGCTGCATGCTAAATTTAGCTTAAACTACACGCCTTATTTTATATCTGCATGCTACAGTTAGCTTAAACTACATGCCTTATTTTATAGCTGCATGCTAAAGTTAGCTTAAACGACATGCCTTATTTTATAGCTGCATGCTAAAGTTAGCTTAAACTACATGCCTTATTTTATAGTTGCATGCTAACAGTAGCTTAAACTACATGTCTTATTTTAAACTACATGCCTTATTTTATAACTGCATGCTAATGTTAGCTTAAACTACATGCCTTATTTTAAACTACATGCCTTATTTTATATCTGCATGCTAATGTTAGCTTAAACTACATGCCTTATTTTAAACTACATGCCTTATTTTATAGCTGCATGCTAATGTTAGCTTAAACTACATGTCTTATTTTAAACTACATGCCTTATTTTATAACTGCATGCTAATGTTAGCTTAAAGTACATGCCTTATTTTAAACTACATACCTTATTTTAAACTACATGCCTTATTTTATATCTGCATGCTAACAGTAGCTTAAACTACATGCCTTATTTTATAGCTGCATGCTAAATTTAGCTTAAACTACACGCCTTATTTTATATCTGCATGCTACAGTTAGCTTAAACTACATGCCTTATTTTATAGCTGCATGCTAAAGTTAGCTTAAACGACATGCCTTATTTTATAGCTGCATGCTAAAGTTAGCTTAAACTACATGCCTTATTTTATAGTTGCATGCTAACAGTAGCTTAAACTACATGTCTTATTTTAAACTACATGCCTTATTTTATAACTGCATGCTAATGTTAGCTTAAACTACATGCCTTATTTTAAACTACATGCCTTATTTTATAGCTGCATGCTAATGTTAGCTTAAACTACATGCCTTATTTTGTATCTGCATGCTAATGTTAGCTTAAACTATATACCTTATTTTATAGCTGCATGCTAATGTTAGCTTAAACTACATGCCTTATTTTAAACTACATGCCTTATTTCATAGCTGCATGCTAAAGTTAGCTTAAACTACATACCTTATTTTAAACTACATGCCTTATTTTATAGCTTCATGCTAATGTTAGCTTAAACTACATGCCTTATTTTAATCTACATACCTTATTTTATAACTACATGCCTTATTTTATAGCTGCATGCTAATGTTAGCTTAAACTACATGCCTTATTTTAAACTACTCGCCTTATTTTATAGCTGCATGCTAACGTTAAGTGTCAATATTAATAAAAATGTATTTTATAAGCTGCCTGTAAATATTAAGATTTTTTAACCCTAACCCACTACAAGTGTCTTACAAGGAAATAACAATTCTGTTAATTTATCAATAACCAGCCCTTATAAAATGTTAATAAACAGCTTAATAATTTATGAAAGGTAAATAAACATCAACAAGTTCCTAATAAGGGCCTATAAGTGTCTTATCAATAATAAATGAGTTAATTGTGCTTTAGTTAACACTTATTTGTGTTATAAACATCTTTATAAAGTGTGAGTGTACTCATTTTTTAATTGCTGCTTATTAACTGTTAATTACTGCTTATTACAAGCACCTTCAAATAAAGTGTTACCGAGACATATTTATATATACTGGTGTTCTTAATTCTCAGCAATTATGCTTTTCTTTCTTTCTGATTTTCTTTTTTATAAGTCAGCCAAAGTGAAAGCACTTCTGATTAACCCTCGTGTTTTCCCGCCCGTTTGATTGGCTGCCCTGTCCTAATTAGTTTCACCTGTGTCTACTTAATCTCCCCTCACTTGTGTGTTTAGTCTGTGCGCCTGCCTTGTCTTTGTCTATATGTCAAGCTTTCTAGCCATTTCCCAGTGTTTTCCTGTGTTTTGGATTTTTGGCCTGATGTATTAGACCGTTTAGATTTGGTTTATTGCTGCTTCCTTTGGATGTGTTTGCTATGTGTCTGCCTGTGTGGACCTTGGCCTGCCTCAGCTTGCTGTAAGTCAGTGTACTCTTTTATTTTGAAAACCATAAAACTGAACCTGCCTCTGGTTCTGGGTCTGGTCCACTCCCTCGTGTTCCTCTTTGCCCAATTGAACTTACTGTGACACAAAGATATTATCTCTGTATGTTCCCTTTGCCTATAGGTTTAAAAATCATGATTGAAAAACCCTCGAGGAAGATCATTCAGAGACATCCCCTCCTAATGAAAGGCTTCCTGCTAAGTGTTGTTAAAATGTTTTATACCTATAAGATATTACAAAAATTATAATTTAATTTATATAATATAGACTTCACCATCACACTGAAGTTTAACAGTGTGTGACTCCCTCTAGTGGACGTTGTGGAGTATTCTGTTGTCTTTGCTCCAAAGGTTTTTGTACAGAGTTTTGGTGTTTCCTGTCACTGTGGGCTGCAGAGCACAGTAGTACACAGCAGAGTCAGACAGCTGAAGCTTCTGGATCTTCAGAGGAACTGATCTTGAGGTGGAATTCAGTGTGGATGAAAATCTTTCTTTAAACTCTTCCTCTGTTTTCCCATCATCCTGTTGAACGCGGCTCAGTATGAATTTGGGGCTGTTGTCTCCATCCTGTTTGTACCAGAACAAAGCTGGACCTGTTCTACTCGTCTCAAAAGTACAGCCAAGTGTAACTGTGTCTCCTTCAGCAGCAATGACATCTCCTGCTGGCTGGGTCACTCTGTCTTCTCCTTTACACTCTGGGGAAGAAGAGAACATGCAGAGGAAGAGATGGATCAATAAAGATGATTGATTAAAGGAGAACAATCAGTAGGTTTAAAGAGTTACCTAGCCAGAGAGTCAGAATCAGGATGTTTCTCAGCCAGTGGTTCATGTCTGCAGTGAGAGGGGAGGAGAGAGAGGAAGAACATTGATACTCTGATGGATCTGGGCCTTCACATCATTGGCCCTTCCTCTTCATCATCTGTTGAGGAACTCTCAACATTTACATCTCATTTACATCTCAGCTGTTTAGCTGATGCTCTTATCCAGAGCAGCTCATAATGAGGAGCTTTAACATGTGAACTTTCTGTTACAACAAAGTCTCTTTAACCAGTTTTCACCCTGGTAGAATGATGAAATCATCATCATCAGTCTGGAATTTTTATTTATCTTTTCAGTGTTTGTAAAACAAGGACTTCCTTCTGTTTTAATGCTGACAGGAGTAATATAGTAACTTGTCATTAGATTGTGTTGTCAGTGTCCACTTGGTGGCGCTGCTGTTCAGTAAACGGCACCTGAAGGAAGAGATAAATGTTGTTAATGACGGTATCAAACTCTGCCTGCCTGTTCCAGTGGTTTCTAGGAAACAGATCCCTTGAAGGTTTTTCTTCTTCCTGCTTTAACCTACCTTTTAGTATGGTCAGAAACAAAGGAACAATCACACAGTAATGCAGTGACTCCATCTTCCAGACAGTATCTGTGTTCTGTCTGGTTTAGATATCGAATGCATCTGACAGTAGGAGTCCTTTTCTGTGCTGCTCTTCTCTGACAGTGTTGCTCCTCCCTCAACCTATTCCTCCTCTCATGTCACTGTATGTTACCAACACCAACACCAGACCGACATATATTTTAGCCTTTAAAGCCCAGAGAGATAAACCTCTGTTCCTCTGCTGGGTTTCTTTGGGTTGGTTTTGCTTCTTTTGCACAATCATCAGTAAAGAAGGAATCTGGTTAAATATGCTCTCAAAGCCTCATGGAGGATCTATAATTGATATTCAAATGATAACTCATCCTAAAATGATTTTATCCTCCGACCACTTGGTCAGAAATATTCTCCAGATGTTCCTATACTACATTTGTGAGTAAGATCTCTGATATTGTCTGCAAGGTTCCTTAATTATTGTTGGGCATGTATTTAGTCTGTAATTCATACCCAGGGAGTTTAGTCTATGGGGAGTGTTATTGTGTCTCTCACATGCACTCACAAAGTCATTTCCCACCAGCGGTACTTCATTAGAGTAGACCTGACAGCCAGAAGGGGGGCGACATGAGACTGCTGTTCACCTCCCACCCCCCTCTCCTGAGCACAGGACCCCCCCAGGCTTGTGTCCTGTTCTTTCTGTTTTCAGGTCAGCGGGCTTGTGAACACAACATAAGAACAATCAACCCCATACATTTCATTAAGCAAGTAATCAAAGCGTAAAGTAATGAAGTGTATGTGTGTTTGTGTTAACAAAAAAGATATATTAAATTGGTATCAAATGTAAAAACAAAACAATTACTAAAATATCAAATGATCAAAATAATAATTTGAAAATCTGTACAATTATTTATCAGTCTGAGGTTCCACTGGTTGTCCTCACTTCATGGCATGAGGAGACATATTTTGCAGCAATTATTTCACATTTGGGCATTTCTCCCAGTAAATAGGGGAGTTTCTGTGCGTCTGATATGAATTCGAATTCGGGGCATATTTGGGAAATGTTTGCAAAGTGTTTTTGTCTTAGTGTTTTATATTTGGGGCATGAGGTTAGAAAGTGCAGCTCTGTCTCTACCTGTCCTCTCAGTCTCCACCTGTCCTCTGAGTCTCTACCTGTCCCCTGTCACACTGGGAGCAGAGTCTCTCCTCTTGTGGTAGCCAGCTCTGTCTGTGGCGACCCTTTTCTATGGCCAGGCTGTGTTCACTCAGTCTGTATGTTGTCAACATTTCTCTTAGTTTGGGACATTTTATTGTACTCAGGTAATTTGCCAGTGTGAATTCTCTTTTTAGGGTCAGATAACATTGTAATTTACTTTCTGTTTTGGTCGTTTCTTTCCAGTATTCAATATATTTTTCTTTCTGCTTGCTGATAATTTGGTTTGGTCTGCTTGAGTTGGTGTTGCTGTCCTGAGGCTGTTGGGGACTTGTTACTGCAGAGAGCCTCAGGACCAGCTGGCTGAGGGGACTCTTCTCTGGTTTCAGCTCCTGGTATGTTAGGGCTTTGTGATGATATGTCTGGGGTTAACTGATTGTAAAATTTAAGTGATCTTTTCTGTACTTTTATTGGCCGAGCTCTGCTCTGCACAGGTTATTTGGTGTTTTCTCTGCACCTGCAGGATGCTCTTACAGAACTCAGTATGGAAGGATTCTTTTTGATTGTTTTGTCCCATTTGTCAAATTCATTATTAAGTTTTGGCCCCCAGATGTCGCTACCTAATTATTGGTTCTAGTACAAATTGGAAAATTTTAAGCCAGATTTCAATTGGAATATATATTTTAATGTTTCTTATTATTGCATAGAAAGCTCTCCTTGCTTTGTCCCTCAGATCTTTCACGGCCATGTTGAAGTTCCCTGTGTATGTAATGTTGAGGCCAAGGTAAGTGTAGTTTTTTGTGTGTTGTAATTTAGTTTTTTAAATTAGACAATGAAGCCAAATGATTACATATTGAATTAATTCTCCTGAATTAACTCTGTAATGGCAGAGCTGTAGAAGCTGCATACCGCTTGTATTAGTCAGCTTGTCAAAGCTCTTTCTAGCAGGACATTCAGGGAGGGGGAAGCAGGTGCTTCCAGGTAAATGTTGGTCTCCCTGGGTGTTCATAGTGTCAGCTCTTTCCCCAGTTCGAGCGTTCAAGTCCCCACAGAGTAACACATTTCACATGGTTTTATAATGTTTAACTTCCTCCTCAAGAATAGAGAAAGTATCTGGGTTGTAGTAGGGGATTCTGATGGAGGTATATAGATGGCACACATGTAGACATGTTGCTCAGCACAAATCATCTGTTTGTTCATTTTCAACCATATAGAAGATTTATTAATAACTGTGATGGACTGGCTCAGTTCTGATTTACACCATATAATCAGGCCTCCTGAATCTCTGCCTTGGGTTATTGTGGGTTTTTTGTTGATGGTATAATAATGTCAGTGTAGCTGTGAGGACGACCAGTGGAAACATCTTCTCTGCACCATGTCTCCTGTAAAACTATGATGTCAGAGTCTTTAACTCTGTATTAAAATCTGGATTTCTGCTCTTTAAACCAAAAGCTGATGATCTCAGACCTCGAATGTTCCAACATGTTATTGTAAACGATTTCATCTCCAAGTGTAATCTGTTCAAAAATTAGACAAACACCTTAAAAAACTAATAATAATAGTAAACTAGATATGAAATAATACTAGTAACAAACGAAAAGGAAAAAAAAGTGTAAAAAGAGGAAAATAGTGTTGTAGGTAAATGAATAAAATATTAAACTTTGAGTGACGTTTTAGAGTGTTTCATGTGTGAAATACTGTTAAGAATTATTGTGATGTCTCTAAGAGTCTCTGCTCTTCCACCATGTAGCTATATGAGGCCAGAGCAGAGCAGGTTCTGCATGTGTAATATGTCTTTGAGTTCACCAGAGGGGGGCGGGGCTGTGGCTCTTCTCACCGCTGCAGCGTAGTTCAGTCCAATAGGCTGCTGCTCCTGTAGTCCTGGTTCTTCCATTGGGATGAGGGGGGTATAGGACCTCCAGGCTGGGGGGCTCTCTGGCTGGGTATCAGTGGCCAGTGTTGTGTTGGCTGTGGGTTGTGATGTTGGTGATGCGGTGGGTTTGGTGGCCTGTCCGTCCTCTCTGACAGCCGGGGGTGGATGTATGGTGGAGGTCTGGATGGTCTCGGAGGTCTAGGAGGTCCTGGAGGTCTGCGTGGGGTCTGCGTTGTGTGGTTACCCCTTGGAGTGGTAGGGCTCCTTCCAAGAACAACATCCTTCAGGTTCCTAGCAAGGGTGGGGACTGCATTTCTGTGCAGGTGTATGTTATCATACAGGCAGTCCAGGTGCAGGGTCGGGTGGTGGGCCAAGAACACGTTGGGTTTGAGGGCACAGTCCCTGGAGAGTCTGATATTCACTCTGTGAATGGTGTGGGGGTGGAAGTCTCTCCTGTGCAGCAGCGTGGATATGACTATCTTGCTGGTAGGGAAATTGGTGGAGCCTTGCTCAATGACTCTTCCTCAGACAGTCTGCCAGTCTGTCCTGCTGGGACCTGAAGTCGTTGGTGCCTGTATGGATGATGATGTGGCTGGGTGAGCCTAGCTCAGGCACTGTTAACAGCTCCAGGGCTCTCCTGGTGTTGGGGCACCAGATCTTCTCCGTTCTGTGCCTTGGGAATAAGGTTTTTTCATCCAGGAACTTCCCATTAGAGTCCATGAGGAGGATAATGTCAGCCCTTCTGCCTGTGTGTGTTTGTTCAGTCTCTGCTGTCGGGTCTGGATGTGGAGCTGTGGTGGTGGTTTCAGGTCTGGAGCTCCTAGCTGGAGGCTGGCTAGAGGCCGGGCCTTGGACAGGTGCAGGGGTGTGACTGGCGTCTTGGCTTGGGATGTTTGTATGGAGGCAGCTGGTTGGTACGGGGGGGGATTAGAGTCTGCACCAGGCTGGGTGAGGGGGGGGGGGGGCTGTGTTGTCCTTCAGCAGGTGTAGTGAGAGTTTGGCTGGATGTGGTCTGGATCTGAGAGGTGGGCACAGGGGGTTGTGTGGAGTTCAGTCTGGCTTGTAGACTGAGCCTGTCCCGGTCCTGTAGCTCTTCTCTCAGAGTAGCCAACTCAGTTGTGCAGTTGTCTCTGTCCTTCCTAAGTTCCTTCACCTCCTCACTGAGATGATCCAGCTGTCTTCTCTGACGAGTTAGTTCTTGTTGAAACTCTCTCAGCTGTGATTTGACACTGTCCTGTTCTTTCACTGACAGTAGGAGAGGTAGGCTGCTGTTGGTCCAGCTGCTCTCTGATCTGGACCAGTTCTATTGTTCTCTCATGATGTCCAGGGCCTCAGAGTGCTGGAGCAGGACAGGATCAGTGTCAGCATCTGCAGGCTGTCTGTCTGGAGCAGGGACAGAACAGGACGGTTGGAGCGATGCTTGCGAGGACCTCCTTCTCCTTCTCAGCT